TTATTTGAAATGCTGATTCTTCAAATCAATGTTTCCTCTTTCCAATGACTATGTTAAAATAGTTAAAGTAAAACTTTCTCACTAAGCAAGAAGGGAAGTTTTAAAGGAAATCGAAGTCAAGTACAGCATCGCTACTCCATTTTTAGAAACCAATGCAGCACCGGTAGAGGTAATTTTACCAGTGATGAACAACCAGAATTCTTTGCTCTAAAGTGATGACCCCAGTTAAATCTTTGCATCACACATTTCTCTTCAGTGATGGAGGAGAGCAGGTTGCTTGCATCCATGACAAAATGTGAGACTCAGCTAATTGGTGTGGTTTTGATGATGCCACAATTCTGCTCAAAACCCTTGTAACTAGCAAGTTTGCCCTGAAGATTATTGAATTACTCCCCTGACCATGCATTATTTAAAGGGAAGTGCTGTTATTATAGAAGCCAGCTGTTTAACCATTGGAATTCTATCTGTTGGCCAACTTTCAAGATACAGCAGTGCACTGTAACTAAACATTATATGTCTTCATTGAAGAGGCAAAGTCTAGGTTAAGTGGTCAACTGGTCTGGTAAGCAATATTTTGGTTTACATACTAGGAAACCTATGAGGTACAACTACTGACAAAATAAATATATAAGTATGTAAATTTTCAATGTGAAGGTTTGTCAGCAAGAAAAAACAAATCTGTAGAATGTCATACATGCCTGTTCACTCTAACAGCTGAGTGAGTATATAGACTCTTCATAATGCTAGTACAACAGAACTCTGAGATGGTACCTCATTGTAGAAGGGATAATTCCAGCCACCAGTCTTTTGTTGTTCCATTGAAGAAGGGAATGAAAAATGTTTTGAGCAACGTGGAGAATATAAATACTTATTAGAAAAAAAATTTTTCATCTTCTCAATTTAAAAAAATCCAAACATTTTTATCAAAGACAACATAAGTGGTTTCTAATCATATTGAATATTTACCCTAGGATGAGTTTTCTCTTCCATCTTTTTATAAAATCTCTGGAATAGAAAAGAGCGCAGCAATCACCCACACTGTCCAACACAGGAATCTGCTCCTATGATCTCTGACAGCTGTTCTTACAGTAACTGCAACCTGCAATAGAAGGTTCATTACTTTTCAAGAATGTCTGCCATATATTTAACATGCTTAAGTTCAAACTATTAAAAACTTTTTTAATGTTAAGCCACTATTTGTTTTTCATTCACCTACCAGTTCTGATTCTTCCCATCTGAGCAAAATTGTATACTGAAGGCAAGGATGGACAATTAATTTTGTTTTATTTAAAAACTAATCAAAATGCCTAAAATTAGCTATAATTGAAAGGTCATCAAAAATACCTATTTTTATCAAAATAGATATTGGAGTAAAATGTTTTATTGCCTTTCTAACAAATCACATTGTCAGGCTTCTTGTTTTAGCTCATAGCATCAAATATCTTTATTGTGGTTTTGAAAAAAAAAAAAGAGAAATAAGAGACATTTGAAGATGAAGGATAAAAACTTTGATCCACAGTTGTAGTCTCTCAACTGGTGAGAAATTATGATAATTTATTGAATATCCTAATATAGAAGCAGAAATCAAGTATATAGGACACTTCAAAGGATGAATTAAACTTTAAAAGGCAATGAGTAAACGCTTGTTACATTTACATATTCTGAATAGAGTACAATGAGTCCATTGTAGACATCATGAATAGACAAAAAAAATCTCTATAATAGAGATAGCTATAGATAACATAGCTACTACATTTATGGGAAAATCCAAGACTCTATACCACTATTTCAATAACATTTTTAAAAACAAATATGGACACAAGATCAACTTTCCTTGTGGAGCATTATAAAAAGGTCATAAAATTCTCTGTTCCAAAATCCAACATACAATGAAACATGTCAAACTCTGAGACAACAAAACAGGTGTCAGGTGTGTGCTGTTATTTTTTGCTGTAATGATGATTTCAATGTCATAAAAGGAAACAGACCCTGTAGTGAGTTGATGGTCATCAAGAACAGAATATATGGGCTGGAGATGTAACTCAAACAGTACAGTGCCTGCTTAAAATCCTGAGTTCAAAACCCTCCAGTCCCACCAAAAAAAAAAAAAATAGAATGGAATATACATTGCATAGAAATGCTCTCTGTTAGGCTGGATGCATGGCTCAAGAAGTAGAACTTCTGCCTACCAAGTGCAAGGTACCTCCAAAAAAAAAAAAAAAAAGGTAGAAGAAGAAGAGAAAAAAAAAATGCTTTCTACCATCCTAAGATGAAGGTTGGTGTCTTCCTCCTGTCACAGAAGCAGGATTTAGTTAGAGGTACTTGAAATGTAAATGCTAAATAGGATCTAACAGCCTCAACCCTCTGAAAAACTCTCCATTTTCAACCCATGAGCCTGAGTTTCGAAATCAGTTGTTTCTAAGTTAGCCAAGTTTGAAAGTTTCTGGAACCACTCCTACAGCCCCACCTCCAAACATCAAATTACTCTCCCATAATCAACAAATGGCTCCCATTTGAGATTTATAGTCTCAAAAAAATAAATAAATAAACAATCACTACCTGCAGGGCACTACCAGTGTGGTTAGAACAAAATGGGCCACATCACCTTCCCCTTTACCCTACTCCATGTGAAAAACCCAAGTGTATCTACCACTCTTGACTGGCTAGCCAGTTAACAAAAAGTATGTAGAAGTCCTTTGTGGATTACAAAGAACCATGTAAGCCCATTTGTATCTTTCCTCTAATTTATAGTCCCAAGAAAAGATTATAAAAACAAAAAAAAAACATTGTTTACATTGCTCAGGGGACCAGCCACGTCTCAGCTTGCCAGGGCCTGGCTAGCAAGCAAAAACAGAGTCCACTTCTGTGCTGGTCTTTCCTCCATGGCAAGTGAAAACACTGCTGAAGCTCCAATGGAGGCCAGCTGCCTGGTCCCTCCCAAACCCCACAATGATGAGAAGTCCACAGGGTTCACTCTGAGAGAGAGCTGCAAAGCCCGCCCAGAGAGACCACAAATGAACCCTCCTAAGTTACTACCTCCAGCTGCCCTAAGAATGACAATAAACCTGCCTTACGAGAGGAAGCAGCCACCAGGCTCCTGTGCCAAGCATCAGGAAAACATTTGGGTTCTTAGAGGATGCCATGAACAGTTGGCCTTGCCAACAATGAGGCAGCCAAACTAGTTTGGTAGCAAGCCATTACCATGGCCCTGATCTCCACCAAAGAGAAAGTTCAAAATTCATACAAGGATTTTGACTTTGAAAATCCCATCTCTAAGTACGCTGTCATTATTACATGATAATAAGGCTCTTTTTTTATTTAATTTAATGGTTTCTTGGGTTAGGAATTAAGACTGAATATATATCAGATAGTTAATTGGATTCTTGTGGATCAGTGGTTCACACATTTTCTTCCATGAAGTTTAGACATCAGTGGAGAAACCCCCCAGGCAGCCTCCTTCCCACAGGAGATAAGGGAGATGAGAACTGGCCAAGATCTAGACTCCTTCATCAGGCCTGAGACAGTAAAGTCTCATGGTTTGTCTGTTTTATATATTGGTGTATAGGATAGATTTGGTATGACAGAAGATCTACCATGACAAAAAGTTGACAAATAATTCAAGTGCATGTTAAGTTCCACATAAACTTGTTTTGCTCTTTCTTTTAATTCCAGAGCCAATAAAAAAGTGGATCCAAACCAAGACAAGATAAAATAAAACCAAATCAAAACTTACTTGCCAAGTAAAGACGTCTAATTGATATGCAAATTTCAAAAGAAATTTGACTCAGGGTGTTTCCTCAGGGCAATTAGAATCACATAAAAGGTGGATATTTAATTCATTCTGTCTCAGGCTAGTAGTTATTCCATAAGAAAAGAGGAATAATTGTGGGGATCTCTCTGAGGTGATGGGACAAGGGCACTAGTCCTTTAGTATTATTATCAGGTCTTAGTTCCAAGTTTTCTGGATGCAGTCAATAATAAGACTACTTTTTATAGACTACTAAGACCCTGGAAAGGATACTAAGAGGAAACTAATATTTATTTAGAAATTGTGTGTCAGATGTTGTGCTAAGCACTATCCATACATTCTTTCAGTTTATCCTCAATTTTGACAAGGAAGATGTTGTTAAATTCATTATACAAATGGGCAAACTGAAGCCTAGAGGGTTTTAGTGATTTGTCAAGAGTCATATACCAGGTCTCCTGTTCTCAGTAGGGCACTGGGCTCAGCAGCAAGTTGATTGAAATTTGAATAAGTCATTTCCAATTGAAAAACTGAAAGTCTCAGTTTTCACATCAGTAGAATGAGGATCCCTTTGGAATTTAAAACCTCTTTCATGCTCAATCTGATTTTATAATGGCAGTAGTTAAGTAAAAAAGCAAACAATTGACCTTTCCTATGTATAAAAACTATACTGATTTGCTACAAAGATTGAGGACAGTTTTCCCAGCGCTTGAAGAAAATGTCCTTATACAAATGTTTGAGAAAATAGGTAACCTAAAAATTCTGAGTTCATCCTTACACAATATATACCTGTGCCAAAATATCACTCTATATTCCATAGTTTTAAAAATGAAAAAAGTTTTTAAAAATTTTAAGAAAATTTACTGCATACCACCAGTATTCCTAGTGGCCTCCCATCTAAATCAGTATGTAAAAAAAGTCTAGTATCGGCATAAACAAGATTTTTTGACTATAGGTTGCTGGGAACATGGGAAGAATTAGCACACATAAAGTGCATAGTGAAAACATGAGGCCCTGAGTTCAAATAAATACAAAATTGTGTGTTGAATGAGTTAATGAGTGTGGGAAAGATTCCAGGAGAAACTCTGGAATCCAAAATCTGTGGGCTCAGGCATTCTGGGGAAGCTTGAAGAAGGTGGGATGCTGGAGGATGTGTGTGGAGTGGATAGGGAAGAGGAGAAGCATAGGGACTGTGTGACAGACTGTGACAGCAGATTTTACCCTAATGCCAGGCTATTCTGTTTTCTATGTACAGACAAGCCCACAGGCTATGGCTCCAGCAGTAGGAGGGCACCTCAGACAGGCATCGTGGATGAGTGCTGCTTCCGGAGCTGTGATCTGAGGAGGTTGGAGATGTATTGTGCCCCTCTCAAACCTGCCAAGTCAGCCCGCTCTGTCCGTGCCCAGCGCCACACTGACGTGCCCAAGACTCAAAAGGTAAGCCAGCCAGGTGGGATTCAGCCATCCTCAAGTCATCTCTGTCTCTTGCATGTGAGTGAACCAAAACAGAAATTTTGACCCATAGTCTCTTGGCTGATTCCCACCAACAGGATGAATTCTATGTCCATCCTTTCAGTCACTCTGTATTGAAATTTCTCCTTTCTACTGCTCTGACAGTCTGATAACTGGAAAATGGTGGAAATCAGAGACTACACATGGACTTTGGTATCAAATAATAACTGAAGTCACCTGCTGAAGCCCCTTGCCCAAATAAGACATCCTATCCAAGCCTCAGTTTCATCTGTAAAATTATGATATCTTCCACGACAGGTTGTTGTCAAAATTAAGTAACATGCATATACTCTAAGGTGCTTTTCACATGCCTGCACAAAATAATGGTTAGACCAGTGTTAATGTCTGTCAAGATTGTGATTAATAATTATGATTAGTAATAAAATGTACAAATCCTGGGATTCTGCAATGGTGCAAAGACAAAGAGAGTCTGTAATGGGTACTATTTGAAATTCACGTTCAGTGGCAAATATAAATTAAAGAAAAAACATTAAAAATAGACATTTCTACTTAACTGTAAAAACACCTAGAAATTTCTAGTGGTCAAAATTTTCAGGCATCTTTTTTCTACAAGTTATACTGTAAACCAACCTTAGTGGTCCCAACAACACTCCCAGAAGTACATAAAATATTTAATGCACTCTAGTCACTTGATAGACTTTTGCTGAATGAGGGAATGAACAAATGAATATGAGGACCAAAGTAAAAGTTTAATCCTCAAGTATAAATAATAAGAACTAAAGAGAAGATGAAAGGAGAAAAAGAGAAAGTGAAGAAAATGAGTAAGGAATAAGGAATCATTTAGGTCTATTTGGGGACTTTGTTGGAAAAAAAAAAAGCCAACATGTAATTTTAATCCTCAAAGCCAAAACTAACATTGTGGGAAAAGTACAAGAGTCCACAGTGACACCTTTGCTGCTTTCTGGTCCTAAACCACAGCTGAGGCTATAGGCATACCATGGTGATTTAACAGAAATGTCACTCCAAGAAGCCACCCCAAGTGCTATAGGGGGACCGTTCAGGACATGTTGCACACAGAACACAGTAGCCAACAGTGAGTCAGGGATCAGCCTCCACAGAAAAAACTTTTAGGCAGGAATGTGTGCTTAAAAGGGCAAAGGCATGTTCATTCTTTCTCTTCCCAGACAAAGTGTCTCTCAATTTCTAATTGGGGTGGAAATGGGTATCAGAGATAAGTTCCAAGATTCTGAAATGTAGGTATTGTGACTGAGGTGTAGACTCCTCTCCAGTACCAGTGTGATCTCCTGTTTTCTATGGAGCCTGGGCATTCTGGGCTGACACTAAGGTTCTATCTTCTGGGACATTGTGGGAACCATCTGTTCTCAATGAAATTATTTTTTGTGATGTTTACAGTCTCAGCCCCCACCTACCAACAAGAAAAAGAAGCTTCAGAGGAGAAGGAAAGGTGGGCCAAAGACACGCCCAGGAGGGGAACAACAGGAGGGGACAGAAGCAAGTCAGAAGAAGAGGAAACAAGAAAGAGCAGAGAAGGGGGACTGGAGCTAGGAACTGTGAACACAGAGGCAAAAACAGGAAAATGGAGGAGAGGAGGACTAAGCAGACAGAGACAAGGATGAGAGAGGAGCAGACAAATACAGAAAAGCAGGAAATACTATAGAGGAAATGAAGAAAAGTAGCCCTGATGGAGCTACATAATGCATGTTTTGAAGTAAAAGTAATCTGTTATAGAATGTGACTGATAAACATGGAGAAAGCATAATGCTTGAGAAAGTGCAAAGAAAGTGACAAGAATGGAAAAAAAGAACAAAGATTATAAGAGACCAACAAGATACACCCTTCTTCTTCTCTCCCCAAATAAATAAGAGTAAAAGAATTCAGATAAAAATTAAGTATTGATATGCATTTTGAATTTTGTACAAATCTGTTATAGAAAAATTGCCCGTGTCAATATATGTTCAGAGTTAAATATTAGCCCCAAATTCTTAGCAAGACTGAATTGTGTCATAAAAGTTCCCAGATTTCCTTTTCTGCAAGCTCATTGGAGTCTGCATTTCTAAGTCAAGTCAAGGGTTTGGGCCAAAGGGCAACAGGTATTTACATAAAGACCTGTGAGGTAACCTTTGAAAGGCCAATGAACCTTTTTTTGTGTACACTTTGGTATCAGATATAAAAGATGTATTAGTTTGCTCAGGCTGCCATAACAAAGTATCACAGATTGAGTGGCTTAAACCACAGATATATCTTTTCTCACAGTTCTGGAGACTGAAAGTCCAAACAAAAAAAGTACCCCCTTCTGAGGGCTGTAAGGAAAGATGTGTCTCAGGCTCCCTTCCTATTGTATCTACATGATATTCCCTCTGTATATATCTCTGTGTTCAAATGTCTTCATTGTTTAAGGATGTCAGTCATACTGGATGACATCCAACACTAATGACCTCATTTTAATTTGAGTACTTCTATAAAGAACCTCCAAGTGTATTTTGTACTGGAGGTTCAGACCTTAAACATATGAACTTTGGGGAGGGAAGACACAATTCTGTCAATTATGAAGACTTCTGATGCCCAAATGGCCAACCATTTACATATATAAGCCTTTTGGCTATATATCCTAAAATTGGTTATATATCCTAAATTTCTCTGTGTGTGTCTCTCTCTCTTCTCTCCTTTTCTGTCTTCCTCTTCCCTCATTTCTCTCACCATTCCCCTCATACACAGATTCATGAAATGCTGTTAATTTCTGTCCCATGAGAAACACTAGGACTGTGTTATTACAGCTGGAAGAGGCCTCAGAAGTCATTTGGTTCACTATTTTCATTTTAAAGACAAGGCCATTGAGAGCCCAAGATGGGTAAAGATATGCTTAGGTTCTAAGCTTCTTTCCTTCTGGCCATCAGACAATAGCACATAATCAAATTGATTCAACTAAGAAAGAAGTCCAAAAGGAAATCAGGGGGAGAAATGAACATATGAGTATCCCACTAATTTTATATTTTTCTGCCAGAATGTAGTAAATTAGAGCAAGAGTGCTGGATAGCTCTGAAAGTGAAGAAAGCTAAGAGAATTACAGTATTTAGGTCTTAGAGATCTCCTTCACTTCTCTTGTTTAATCAGTAAGACCAGAGTCTTCCATAGAGAATAAAACAGAAAGTCTCAAGGTTATCCAAACTGTGAATTGTAGGTGCTAAGAGAGAAATGCTCAGCAAGCACTTGTGAGCACAATGATGACACTTGGGAGTTAAAAAAACGACTAAAATCCCTAAGTGAAATATCAAAGTAGCCTACTTTAAATCATGATATAAAGGCATGTCCTTTCTGCCTGGTCAATCATGTCCCTACCATGTTTTCTACTTCAGGATTACCTTTCTTCCATGGTTCACTGAAAACCAGGATCCCTTCAGTATAATGGAGATGCTCAAGGCTCAATCCAAGAGAAAAAGTTCCAATCATAAGCATGTCAAAGCCCCAAATTGGAGTCAGGCTACTGCTGCTATGGTTGAAAAATGGAGGCTGATTTATCAGATCAGACAAAAGCCAGGCTGATACCTGAGCCATCTGGTCAGCCACCTTATTCAGGAGAAGTTGAATTCTCCTGCTAAGGCATTATGCTTTGGGGTTGGCTTTAGGTACTGGTCAATACTATATCCATCACCTTAGCAGAGCCTGCAAATATAGATGGCTCTTCAAGGGACAACAGTTTATCAGAAGAATTCAGAATTTATGTCCCATGGGAAGGCATGGTTAAACTATAATTATGCCCAATCATAAGCTTGATTCAAGAAGAACTTTAACAAAGCAATAGAACCTTCTACTTAACTACTCCAGACTATGCACTAAAGTATACTTCAGTTTTTAAATAGTTTGGTCAAACTCTACAGCCATCCCCTTTTGCATCCTACAGTATAATTACCAGTAATAGGAACCAGGAAAATCGAAAAAATCAACTGTTGCGTTTCATTTCTTTGGTTGTAATCAATAGTCCAAGGACCTAGTATATCTTTGATGGATTGGATGGATGGACTGGATTGGATGGAACCGGATGGTATGGGATAAACTTGGACTAAGATGGATGATTGAGTGAGTAGATGGCAAGGAGGATTAACGAGTGATCAGGCAGATGCATAGCGGTAAGTAAGACAGACTTAAAAATAAGTTTGGGCACTACTGAGATGAAATGTTCCACCTCATCATAAGCATAGGAACAAGTAATGGGCAAAATACAAGTAAAACAAGGAAAGACAAAGGAGATTTGCTAGC